TGCAGGATTCCCACGTTCACTGTCTAATTTCAGGGGGTTTTACACTATTTTACTATGCTTAGACATTGTGTATTTCTTTTTTTTAAGAACATCATAAACTCAAATGTCATTTGAACTAACATTCATTTGATGTCTTTTGTAGTTCTGCCATTGGAAATATCACTTAATGTAATTATTGTACAAAACTTTTACCCTTCATGCCAGTATATACACAGGACTGTTTAGCAGGAAATCATGGTATGAGCAAACTCTTATTTTTAACAGAGATAATTTGAAACCTGGAGAGAGACTACAATAAAAAGATCTGTATTAATTTAAATTGGGGATAGAAGCTTGACTAAAAATAAAAATTCACTAGTCCAGTGTAGTTAAGCATAAACCAAAGAAAATGGTTTTGTTTATTAGTTTCTAAACTAAATAGTAAAGAAAAAATGCTATACTGTAGTGAAGCTAACAATTCTCAAAATTTAAATTTCAGTGGCCCTTGGTTACTCTTTGAAGAACTTCTAAAACTATGTGCTTATACTAGAAGAAAACCCTGATTTGAATAATAATATCTGGAAAGTTAGCGGTTTGTTTTACATCATTCCCAATTCTGTTGAATTCAAGTGTAATGGAATTTACTGAATATTCGTCTTTTCGTTCACCAGTTAAACTGATTAATCTGTATTCACTTTAGACACCTTTTCTTGAACTAAATTTCACTATTCCCAGTGCAGTTAGAATTGACTTGTTGAGGTTTGTGTAAATCTAGAGTTGTTCTCATAAATTACAGTTTTTATAAAAACCTCAGTTACTGCTACAAGAACTCACTTCAAAGCTTGCTCCTCTTTTTTTTTTTTTTTTTTTTTTTTTTTTTTACAACTACTATAATGCTTCATTTTCCTGAAGTCTTATTCATAAAAAGATACTCTTAGGAAATGTATGCATATTACTTCTTGTAACAGTAATGAAGGAAACTAATATTTCTTAAATGTATAAAACAATATTTCGTTAAAAATCTTTCGCTAAAAATTCTGAGCAGGGTAGTATGTGCTACTTTCAAGAGCAAAATTAGTATGCCTCTCATACTGCATCAAAAGACTGATGGAAACTGTTGCTTTACCAAATTGCTGCAAGTGCAAGGTGAGGAAAATAGCAAACTCACTGACTGGCCCTTCTTTCTCAAAGCTCAAAAAGTGGAGCCATATAAAGATGCAGAGCGTTTTTTGATTTCTTAGATGACTATGTTAAGGATATTTTAGAATTTGAAATTCTCACTTTGTCATCTTTGCCTGTGTAGTCCTAATTTGCTCCCAATCCCTTGTCTTGTTATCTGAAGTTGGAATGCCCAATGCAGCTTTTAATTTTCATTTCTCCCCTCCCCTAATTTGAAAACTATTTTACAGCTTGCTCTGGCACAAGCTGTCAGAGAAGGTTCATGTTAATTTTTCATCATAAAATCCACTTATTTGAAGAAAATAGACTAACCCTCAGACTAGATAATACCACCCTACCATAAAAGCCTTGACTTATCACTAAAGTTGATTTTTAAACATCTACTACGTTTCCCAATGAGCGAGTGGAGTATGATTGTTAAAGTTGTAAAAGAAAGAAACACTGCCAGTTCTAGTTACTACTCAAGGCAGTCTGTAACTGTCAGAATGTCCTATCAGATTTGGTTTGAGGTTTAGTTCCCTCAGAAATAAGTTACTAAAGCCAATTATAAAAGGAATTTGGAACTTAAAAAAAAAAAAAAGACACTACAGGGAAAACATTGTGAAGAGCAATAAATCTTGTTCCGTTTGCACCTATCAGATATTTATTGTACAATAACAATTTATATTTTTAGTCATTACCCATTATTATTGATGAACACGGTGAAATATTTTTGAATGAGATGTTTGGGGTTTGTATGTGCATTACAATTGTCCTTTTGTACTGTAAGTTACTGTTTGATTGGAATATTTTATCAAAACTGTCTCCCTGTGCCTTTATATTACAAGAAAGTTGTTTCTGCAACTTCTAATGATATTAATAAAGAATACTTTAAGAACCTCATCTCAGATATTCATTTTCAGATCAGTCAGTCTCTTAAGATTGACTTAGTCTAGGATGCATTAAAATATACATAGAACTAGTTTTTGTAGTGTTGCAGAATGCACCATCGTCAAATGTGACAGATAGGAGCTTTTTTTCCCCCCTCCTTCTTTCTAGTAGACTGTTTGATCCAAAGTATGAATGATCTGTCAGAAATTTTTTTGTTTTGGAGATTATCGTACGTAGGACTCATTTTCTTAAAAACAACTTGATCAAGCCGTATCTTTCTGTTCTATTAACTGAAAGAAAATATTTTCAAATTAAACAAGTTGATTCCTTCTCTCTTTATTGTTTGAGCAATTTATTTTTCCCTGTATTTAGTGTCATTTATATCGCTAGTAGCACCATCTCTTCAGTACTATATTCTAGGAGTTAATGTAATATAAGTACATGACTTCTGATGTTTCTCCTTTACCCTGGATTTTTCAGTGAGTATTTGCATGTGAAACTAGAGCATATATTCCCTTCTGACTTTCTGAGATATTCTCTTATGAGACACTTCAAATATGTTAAACTTTGTATGCTACTCTGATTTACCACAAAGACTAGGTTAAATGTGATTTTTTCTTTACGTTTATTAGAGTGGAGACCTTGGTTACCTTTAAAAGCCACTTAAATGTTTTGGTTTTCTACAGTCAAACTAATGTTTTTGTAGAAACTAGCAATGGTGCTTTCGTGGATTCCTGTTTTTCCATGTGATATGTCTGAATTCAGTACTAACTTCTAAGCTCTTTTGTTAGCTATCTGTGTTGTTTGAAACCTGTGATTTGAAGATTAGGATAGATTGGACTGCGAAACCTCTGTAAAGTGCATGTGTTTAGTCAGTATCAGAGAAATGTTCCATTAGGGAAGTATATTTCTCAATTTGAAGATTTGGTGTGCTGCCTGCTTAAACTGCTTTTGAAATTCCTCATGGTTTCTTTCTATCTCACAGTCCTCCCAACCCTTAAAAAATCCAGTCCATCAAATGGAAACTTCATTAGTGTAGATTTCACCTACTTATTTTATTGAAGTCGCAATATACAGACCTGCTAATTTATTTGATAGCCTTCATCTGACTAGTTCACTCATTATTAGCATTGCTGTTATTTCTACTTTAAATGTCTGCCAGTTTTTTGTTTTCTGTTTCCTTACTTCCAGATCATGTTCAAAGATGTACAACTAGTTTAAATAGCCCTTTATCTCCTTCTAGTTTCATTTTAGGGTGTTCTAAAGAAATTTTTCTTGTGCTGCTTTGTCATTTTTTTAATGTGACTCTCCAGATCTGACAAATGTCAGTTTGCCTGGGGTATTTTTCAGCATCAAATTCTTTTTACATTTCATACTGAGTTTTATGAACACATTTCACTATTCTTCCAGGCAAAAGTCTTTGGTAGTCTGACTTATACTGTACACTACACTAATGAGCTTTTGCTAGATGCAGAAAGGCCCTGTGGCTGCTCGATGTCTTTGTAGAGTGTGCATGTGATGTTAGGACAATGAGGAGTCTGTTGTTTTGGCAGCAGATGAGTCTGTTGTTGCCACACTGGAAGTATGAGAATATACCTGTTTTGTGTGGTTCAAAAGCTAGACAAATTTCAGGAGCATTAGTAATGAACATTTGCCACGAATACCGGCCTGCATGTTCAGGTCAGAGCAGGAAAGGTCTGACTTTAAAAGAAAAAATATGTAAGGCTGTTTTTTATATTTGGTGGGTTAACTGCAGTCTTCTGAGAACAGAAATGTGAAAGCACAATATTCTTCAAAGCAAAATAGACTGTTTAATATACAGCTTGTGTTCAGATAGGAAAAAGAGCATTTTTTTTTTTTAGGTCAGAGTTTCAAATAGCTTGTCTGTTAGTCAAAAGAATTTTAATACACGTCTTTCTATTCTGTACATGATGCTTTTGTATATGCTTAACTTTTACTACAGATTCTAGCTTTTGATATTAGTAATGGAGGCTTAGTGCATCCATTTAATGTGCCCTTGGTATAACTACAGATTCCCACATAGACGACCTGTATCTTTTTAAAGGAATGGGGTTTTCAAAATTTAATGCATTTTTGTGCTTTTTTTCCTCCAAAAATAATTCCGAAACTCCTCAAAATAGTTGAGCAGCTGATTTCATTGCTGCCAACCATTAATGCAGTTTAATTTTGACTTGAAAGTTCTTATCTTCTTTGGTTGTTCAGGCTGGTGTAGGAACATCTAGTTTTCTGTAAAATCCAGCAGTTCTCAGTGCTCAGCTATGTCACCTGGACCTTAATGGATTTTTTTTTTCCTTACAAGAAAACTTACAGTTTCCTTAGTTTGTGGGGATTTTTGGCAATTTCGTATATTAAAAATTTTTCTTACTGTTGCAGATTAAGTTGCGGGTTCACTGTGGGAAGAAGGGCCTACCTCCATCTGGAGAGAGCAC